GTCGTTGATTCACTGCCCCGGGAACGTTTTGGCTCGCGCGATTCATTCTGTGGCTCTAAGGAAAAACGTTTCGAGAAATCACAGTTTCGAGAAATTTTACCCTGGACAGGACCCGACACATCCCTTGTAAATAGATCCTCCTCACCCTAACCCACCCTAACCTCACCATTAGTGCATGGTGAATGTCAACATTTACCGGTGTAAGTCAGAAATAAGGGTATTTAGCAAATATTTCGGACATACACCAAGCGACTATGTGAATGTTGACATTCACCGGTGAAAGTCGACATTCTCCAGATTTCGGTGTTTCACTGTAACATATATAATTTAAAACAAATGTGAATATCTAAAATTTTGTATTATTACCATCGTCAATTCAAACAGTGACCCCTGTCGCAATTAACATGTCAAACATGGTTATACACTGTAACTTGTCTATTGCAGATAATATTTCAACATTATATGTATCACATAAAAGAAAATTCGTCGTGGCGCCACGGACAATTTCTATAAAACCAGCGTGGCATTCAACGTGTTAACACTTAGCCAACCGAATGGGGAGATCTCCCCGTTTTAAATGCAGTCGATTGATGATCGAATGGATGATTAATGAAAAATTACAAATAATTATTTAATTTCATTAAGATTTGCAAGAGGTACGAGGAAGTAATTAATTAATAATAAAGAGGCTGAAGAAGTAATTGATGCCATATAAGTTTGCTTCGTAATTCTTGTTTATATATATATATATAATTGGATGAAATACTTTAATTGAACATTTTCGAGGTTATGTCAAGGTTGTGGAAGTGTTAATTAACACTAAACTTACCGAGCTGTAACGAATTTTAATATTAATTCTGATCGCGATGGCCTAAAAGCTCACAACTTTTGCACTAACGAATTTGTTTGTATTTAGAAAATCGTCTAAATTTGCAACTGTTGTACAAGTCGCAGGACTTAATTTCATATGCATGGAATGCACTAATAAGTCGTATAAAATGAAAATAGGTCAGAAAACCTATTTTGGACTTCGATGTAAAATGGCTTCGTGTGCAAAGGGTTAATTTTGAAATGTTATCCCAGAACCTCTCATGATCGCAGACAAATTTCTGTACACACTGATTCTAGCTACTGTATTTATGCTACAGTATGATAATTGCAAATATAGAGTTTTTATATATGTCTTTTTTGAATATTTAGAACTTATGGTCTTCACTTGTATTTTGGTAAATTTTTATGGAATTTACAGAAAGATTCGTATGTAACACTTGTCAAAGCGGCATTTCTTTTTCCTTATCTTATTTTTTTGTTTCATCATTGTAAGGTAATCAAATCAAATACATAGATGAAAACACAAAATCCTTTTATCAAATTTTACAGCAGCATGATTTTTATCTCAATTCGACTTTCTACAGTAAAATCAGATTTTTTTGCAAGACTTGTCAGAAAAGATTTCTCGAACGCTAAGGATTAACAACGTAGTCGAAAATTTCGAGCAGACACCGTTAAATATGAATTTTTATTTGTCCCAAACCGAAATACAGTTTTCAAGCAATGAAATAAAAATTTGAGAAATCGTTAACGACAAAGACGCTCCAATCGTTGGAACCTTAAAAAAAGTAATACGAGGAAGGGTTACTTTAAAAATGAAGAGAAAGTACAATCGTACTCGATCGTTATCGACGGATATTTGTCGACGGTGGAATTTCGTCGCTCTGCTAGCAATCGCGTTTATTTTCGACCCTATTTTTCCTTTCCTCCAGACGGATCTGTCGAGCGCGATGCATATATGTAAATATAATTCAAAGTCTGGCTGCTGCATTAATAAGGGGGCCAGCCCCATCGATCTCGTGTAATTACTATCTTGTCAATTGCTTTGATTAAACCGTTCCTCTCCGCCTCCTTGTCTCCGTTCCCTTCCTGTCTTACTGTTTATTAAAACGTTATGCAACGATAAAAATATAATTGCTAGAAATACAGGCAAATGCTTTGCTTCGCCGAGTTTTATGTTATTTTATAATGTACACGATAATAAACAAGATAATGTACCTTCTATACAAAATAAAACGCAGTGCCGAAACAATGAATGATCGATTCGTTGTCAGTTTTATGATGTAACAGAATGTTTCACGTAATATTTCTGTTTTTTTTGTTTGTTTTTTTGTTAGTGGTTCATAAAAGTGATTCACACGCGAGGCATAAAATTCTTCATAGGTTCTCGATGGGCCGTTTCGGCAGTAAAAGTTTACAGCAATGATAAACGATGCACAATACGTTAAAAATTTAAAAAAGTGACATGAAAGAGGCCAAAAACGTTGCAACAATTAATAGACTCAATGTCGCAAAGGACGTTCGAGATCATAAAAAACAATGGAGAATCAACTAAACATAAAAATTCCTTTGTAATTGATTGATTTTTAATCTCATTTATGGTCATTTTTTAAATACAAATATGAGACAAAATATTTAAATTATATTTATTATATAAACTTATACGAATTAAAAAGAAAAATATTTAATGAACCTATGTTTATTTCGCACAAAATTTCCGAATTTTTCTAATATTGATAACCGTATAACATATAATAATCGTATTAATAAAAATTATATTATTTAAATAATATTGTATTTTACTCAATTTTACTAAATGCATTGCAGAGAAACCAATAACAACTAATAACAAAAAAAAAACAATTATTACGTAAAACCCGTTGTTATATCACAAAAATGAGACGAACTTATCATTATTTCGGCCACTGTATTTGCATTTACGAAGACGTCGAGCTAAATAAATGTAAAAGAAAAAAGAAGACTCGATACGTTGTTTGAATACCAGATGACCGCGTTTGCAGTATTATTAGAAAACATGTTGTCGTCGTCCTCGTCGTCGTTGTCGTAGTCGCAGAATCCACGAGGAATTGGAGGCAGATTGGAAATCCGCCTTGGGACCTGGTTTTATTACGACGAACTCGTTCGTTACGCAATGGGAACTTATTGGTAAAATTCTCCGCTAGCAATTTACCATGGTCGCAGAGAGACATTGGAATAGCTTCGATTATCGAAAACCATTCGAAAGGATTTCTTTCATTTTTGTTTCGCTTAAAATTCATGTTTCGAGTTTCGACGAAATAAATTTCATACTTTGATTGTTCCATCAGTTTCATCGTGGCGAACCTCTTCCGCTTTGATACTAAAATTAGAATGCCCCATTTTAATACGTCGCTCTCAAATTTGAATAATTCATTTAGTTAGGATCTGCAAAATGCAGAAGGATCGGAAGAGCACTCGTGCATCTTCATTTAACCGAATTTTCATCAAATAAATTGCTTCGATTTAAGTGCAATTCCCAGCTGAAGTGTTAACAGAGGGTCAATTAAGAAGATGAAGTAATTATTGGGTTTTTGGCAAAATCGCGTAATATTGATCAAATATAAACTTTGTTATAATGCTTTAATGTAAAATATATACATATAAATATATATATAAATATATACATATATTATAAATATATGTATATTATAATTATTAGTATAATATATATATACATAAATAATTATATATAATTATTTATATTTAATTAAGTACGTTAATATATATAATAAATATATAAATATATACATCAATTAATAACAAAAACGAGATTCACTTGCTTGAACTATATTCATAATTCTTTTTTTCTTTCTTTTTTGCTTATTGATTGAGAGCATTTACAATCGATTCCCTCATGGAATTATGGGTAAATTTGTTTACGGTTTACTGTAACGCGAGGAGTGATTTATACGATTACATTAGGTCATTGTGCGTTACAGTATAACTTGTGTTTGATCGTCGTTATAGTTCCAATAATATTTTATTTGCTTGGTAAATCTGTTTGTTCGATTTAAGGGATTATAAACGATTTTATGGGTTTATGACAAAAATCAATAAATCAAATACAACACACTAAAAATATTAAAAGAATTGTAGGTTTTGTATCTTGCAAATAGTGCAAACAATTTTTATTTTGTAATAATATTTTGCGTAAAAATCCACGGTCTAGTGATCAATAAAAACAGAAACTAGATTCGCTTGTCCAATAGAGCGACATAAGGATTGTCCAAGTTAATTTTAAGAGAGACATAAGTTAAATGAAAATGTTTTTTTCTTTTTTAACCAGTCAGCTGTTGCGACCTCTTCGAAATGTATGTACCTAAAATGTATCACAAAGGAAAGAATAAACTAACTATAGTTTCTGATTCGTTCGTTTTATTTCGTCTCTTGGCCTCGAAAATATTTGAAACATCTTAACGAATATATTTTAATTTTCACTAAAATATCAATTTAAACAGAATTTAAACAGATTTTTTTCATAACGAGTATATTCGTCGAATCAATTGAACGGTTAATAACTCTAATCAGTTGACAATAACGTGACAATATCTCTAAATTCTTCCTTTTGTATGCGATTGGTTAATTTTCGTCACAAATTATTGTTATTATTTATTATTTATTATTTACTATTTCCTATTTATTATTTATTATTTATTATTTATTATTTACTATTTATTATTTATTACCGGTTTCGTATCGAAATGATTGTCCGATTTATTTTGCATCAAATCAAGCAGATAGAAGCTTATACATTTATTATATAAAACAAAAGTTAAATAAATACTTATTATACTCGCACAGCTGTAATATGCTTAATTGATTATGCTTGCGCCATGGAATTAATGATAGAGCAGGTATAAAACATTATTTTCTAAAATGAAACGATTATTTCGACACAAATAATTTATACAAATATGGCAATCATCTCGATTCCGATGGAGAAATAAATCATTAAAATCCACAATCTACGATTGGCGCGTTGATAGAACGTCAAATGCTTTTCTACTTCCAACAAGAACATTATAGATCGATGTCCAACATTCTCTTGTGCTTTCCAAGGATGATGTTGGTTGTGTTAGTTAGTTTCGCACAGCTCGAGAATCGGATTGATCGAGGCCGATTTGTTCCAGAGAACCGAACTGCAAGCTGAGGTCGCTGAATGTGTCGAAGTGTTTGCTCGGCGGACTGGATGCGGGCTGCTTGGGGGAGACCGTCAGAAGGGCGCGGAATTTGGACGCTTTAAGGGCTGCTGGGGCGTCCAGACCTGCGGACGTGATGCCGCTGGTCCTCGCCTTGACAGAGGCGCCATGTCTGCAGCTGCTGGACCTAGCTAGCCCTCGGCTCGCCCTCGACGATCATCCCTCCCGGCTGCTCTGTCATGCTCTCGCCAGAAACACCACCCTTAAACTCCTCAGCCTCGAGGGATGGACCTTCAGAATAGAGGTGAGTCCGGTGTTCTGTTCGCTATACAACTTGGTTTGCACTCCTAACTGTTCTACAACGATTTCGTACGAAAGAATTGCGAGCGTATACAAATATAGTGAAAGAAGACGGTTTAAACAAGTCATTATTAGGTCGTGAACAGTGCAGGATAATTCAATATCGCCGTTATCATTAACACTAGATTTACGAAGCACAACAAAAAATTGTTCTATATTAGTTTATGAAGGTAACGATAAGACACTTGTTCTAATTTTTGACAAGTGTTATTGCAACATTTGTCGTAAGTAATATATAAATTGAATAAATAACTCATAAATGTATATTTACGATATGAACTATCGTAAAAAAATGCTAAAGGAACAGATTGTATGGTTTGAAAGGTTGCGGTGGAAATAGATTTTTTTTTAAGTCATATTTTTCTAGATTTCTAGATCATCGATCTTTTTTTAAATGAATAGTAAATTCTCTCTAATTGACACTTAGCTTGTACACAAAAATGAATAATTTGGGCGAGGAGATACGATTATTTGAGCCTTGCGGCTCGTTTTTATAGTTATCGATTGGCAACAACTATAAAAACGAACCGCAAGGTTATTGTCCATTTTTGTGTACAAGTTGAGGATCAATTAAGGAAAATTTACTGTACATATTTCTGTTACTATACAGAGTGTTCCATAACTATATCAACACTCGGAAAGGGGTGATTCCTGAGGTCATTTGAAGTAACTTTTTCCTTAGCGAAAATGCAATCCGTGGCTCCGTTTACGAGTTATTAACGAAAAACACTGACCAATGAGAGGCGAGCGCACCTAGCGCTAGGCGGCCGAGCCAATCAACAGAACTGGGCTTCGACCGCTCGTTGGCTCGGCCGCCTCGCGTCATCTGAGCTCGCTTCCCATTGGCCAGTGTTTTTCGTTGATAACTCGTAAACAAAGCCGCGGATTGCATTTTCGCTAAGGAAAAAGTTGCTTCAAATGACCTCAAGAGTCACCCCTTCCTGGATGTTAACATAATTATGGAACACCTTCTATTATAATAGCTTTAATAACACGACATATAATAACAGCATTGTCATGTCAGATGGTTGATACGTCGAGATTCAAAGATCAACTCCAAAAATGCCCGCAATATAAAAGTTCTTAAATTAATAAAACCGAAACTGAAAGTCTAAAATTTACCATATGAGATATCAGTTTAAATCTTTCGCATTCTAAAAATTCCAGTAACATTCAACTTCTCCAATACATTACAATAAAGATGAAGATTTTCGTTTTCCCCTTGAGATTCGAATTATCGAGGTTCACACTCGCGTACAATGAAAACAACCCTCACAGTCTAAGCAGCGAAAGCGCGCGAGGATCAATTCTCTAAAAGTATCTCCCTACTGTCTTTCCATTGTCGACGCGTCGCCAACAACTCGGTTAATTTTTAAATAAACGGATAATAGTTTATCCAGCCCGGCGGAATCCCGCGAATCCGTTTTCGCCCGGAAAAACTTCCGTTTTCTTAACGACCAGACGAAGGGGAGGCGAAAGGTGGAGCGTGTGTCGAAGGGATTAGCTCGGCAGAGGGCGATGATTTGCAAAGGAAAGAGGAGATTCGTATTCGCTGAGTAAACCGTGGAGCTCGCGGAACTCCCTGGAGGAAAAATAAAAGGGAGGAGCCGTCGAGAGCGAGAACCGTTCGAGCGTTCGTGCTTCCTCCTCGGGGTGGCCCGGCAATTCCGAGAGTGCTGGCTGGTAATATCCTGCTGCACCTCCGCGGGCTGCCCTACCCGGTTGCACCACGGAGTTGCATAACGTCCCGACCGCGTCCGACGAACGGGAGCACGGAATTTCAACTAGCCGCCATCGCGGCGCACCGTCTCGATAACAACGTCGGAAAAGTTCACCACGGCATGGCGTGGCATAGAACAGCGTCACAGTGCGACAGTCAATGGACAAAATAGAAACAAAGACACTGCTTCGAATCTATTCAAAACTGTACGTACGATGTTTCGGAATATCTGAATAATCGTATTTAGCAACGGAATGTTCAAAAAATTGAGCAGAATATTAATTAGAAAAATCAAATGTAGTACGTTGGTTCATAAGGCAGTTTGTTTACATTGTCTTAGAAACAAAAGGCCGCTTTACGAAGTGATCTTTATAGAAAATGATGGCCAGGCGTTGTATAATTGTAATTAATCTATAGAGATTTTGTAATATTTATATGCAATCGACTCGAAGTGAAATAATTAAGTTCGATTTATTTTCCTACACTTCGGATAAGGTTTTAAAAAACACGACTCGAAATATCTTGAGTTCTTATTCCGGCATTCTATTCGTCGAATAGTACGTTTTGATGTTATAAAAACTTTTGTCGCGAAAAGTTGCTATCTTCCGAGTTATTCAACGAACTATATAGCCGTAACTGGTGTCGAACCCATATATATGTACAGTGAGTGTAGGAAGTATTCGTACACCTTTTAAAACAGACTTTAAAACAAACTTTTCAACCCTTTGCTGTCGGAGCCAAAATAGTTTTTCTGGCATATAGTATTTTAATTGTATTGTATAACATGATACATTTTATACACGTGAAATTAAATTTTGTGACCCATGCAACTGTTGCAATTTTAAGTTTTTTAAAAATAAACAAATTTGATAATGTTCGAATTATTTTGAAACGTGATGTGACAATTTTTAACGGTGCTTTAGAGTCACCATTCGACTGCAAAGTTTAAAAGTGGACTTAAATTTGTTGAGTTGTTAGAGAGACTAGTTTAGTAAACAATGTCTACAAAATTTTGTTAAAAAATTGTAATTGCTTGGAATGAGAGAAGGAGATAAGAAACTCGCGTTTTTCTATTTTTCTAGTGACTCGCGTTAACCCTTTGCAGTCGAATGCTGACTCAAAGGGATCATTAAAAAATACCATATCACGAGTCTAAAATAATTTTAATATTATTAAATTTGTTTACATTTAGAAAACTGTTAAACGTGTAACTGTTTTGCATGAGTCACAAAATTCAATTTTAAGCTTGTAAAATTCACTAGGTTATATCAAATGGAAATACTATAGGTCAGAAAAATTATTTTGGATTTCGAGTTAAAATGGTTTCGACTACAAAGGGTTAACATTCGGACACCTTTCGAAACAGGATAACTATTTTTAAAAGTGAACGAAATGTCTTGTATTTTCTTGAGATGTTAGAGACACTAGTTTACTAGGCAATGCAAACAAAATTTTGTTTCAAGAAATGTAATACAATGTGTATCGAAAGTGTTAATTCATTCGTATTGATAAAACAGGCTTCAGGAGTAATACTTAAACATTAACGCTAGATTTACGAAATATTAAAAGCAACTGTTCTCAATTAGTTTATAAAAGTAACGTTAAGACATTTATTCTGATTTTGGACCAGTGTTATTGTAATATTTGCCGCAAGTAACACATATATCGAATAAATAATTCATAAACGTATCTTCACAATCTGAATAATCGTAAATTAAAAACTTAATGACTCGCCATTTGAACGGGTTCCGTAAATCTGGTGTGAATATCCTCATTGTGTAAAACATTACTTCACACGAGTTTTTAGTCCAACGTAATTAGCATCGATCGCTACACTGTGGAACGGAATCGCGGGAAATCGGGAAATTCGGCCGAGAAAACAGTCGTCAGTCCCGGGTGTGTTTGCTGAGCGCCGTTTTTCTCGGGATTTTCTCTCCGGATCACCGTTAAACGCCCGACCAGCTGGTCCTCGCTGGTAAACAGTTTGACGAGCGGTAAAAATCTACCGGCCCGTGGGAACGACGGAATCTTAAAGAGGCGAATCTGTCTCTGGGTCTCTCAGCGGCCATTAAAATTCGGGCTCCCGTCCGTTCCGCGGTCCACGAAACCGCAGAGCTGCCGAGCGATTCTTTTTACGAGGCTCCAAAGTTACTGCTAGTAGACCCCGGATACCCCATCAGTTTCTTTCACGGATCCCGGCGCGTCCGTAACTTCGAAACCTCGAGCGTGTAACCGGAGAACCGTCTTGTCCGACTCGCCTCCTCGACATTCCGAATGCGATTCGACGGCGATATCGATTGCCGCGGAGAGCTCCTACCCATCGAATCCTCTTTAATTCGCCGATGCTGGAACGAAACGCGTTTCCCCGCAGCGGCTCTCTTGCCAAATAAACGAGCGCCGAGTGAAACCGAAGGAACTGTCCGACCGCCGCCGTGAAACTTAATTCGGCGGGAACCCACCGGCGAAAATCGCGTTAACGCGGTGTCGATTCGACGCGGGAGACGTGTTCCTTCCACGAATTGTATCTGTGATATGCTCGGGATTTTAGACAGTGGTACGATTACCGGCGGGAAAGAGAGCACCAGCCGAATTCTTGGCCAAGAGAATGTGGGACGTCGTTTTTGAAATGAGGAGTGTTTGGAAATTGACGCGCATTTGACGTACATTTGATGTACATTTTAGCTACATTTCAGGTACATTTCACATACATTTGAGGTACACTTTGTAAATAAATTTTTAATCCTTACATATTCTATCAAGGTCGCGTGTACCATTTAAATAAATTTAATTCGCTACAAAGATATGTTTTATAATATATCTATTATTATATTTCATTATACCTATTATTATTTTATTATATTTTATAGTGCCAAGATAAGGAAAGTCTTCCATTGAGTCATGAAATAAAAAAATGCAGATTTTCCAAAAACTATTCAGAATTCTTATTAACTACTATAATATCAAATTTTACAGTTAATCATAATCAAAGGATAATCAAATCGAAATAAATAATCATTACATGATTAATGGTTACCGTGTTTATCATGGCCAACGATAGTCATTTGCTTCGATTACTTTTGCTTATTCATCAATCATGAGTTCTTGATTACATAAGTTATTTATTAATCATGATTACTTGATTACTTGAATTTTTCATTAATCGTGAATACTTGATTCTCTAAGTTACTCATCAATCATGATTACTTGATTGCTTGATTACTTAT